TCTATTTATTATAAAGTCGACTTGCTTTTATTTTTAATAGTCACAATGTTGCATTGTAGAGGTTTTCGTAAATATTGGAATATGTGTATAATACTGTAATAATGTATTTAATAATAATGTATTTCCAAGATATTATTTAGAATCAAAGATATCGAAAATATAAACAGTTTTTAAATCATAAACGATATTGGCCATAGAAATACAATTTGACACTCACCGGTACGATGCGCAGCGGAATTATGATACTACGTCGACCTGTAAATACAAACACAAAATTTTAATTACAACAGCGTCCAAAATATTTCACAAATTAATTACAGCGCGCGCGGAATTTTTCACTCATCCCCTTCAAACACACACAGATTTAACAAAGTAATTATATAATTTACAAAAAGAAATTTCTATAAAATTTCGTAAACAAAAGAGTTTATCTCCAATTATTTGTTAAATAATACGAACTCAAAGAGAACAAGGAAGTCAAAATAATACTAATTTGATGTCATGATGTGATAATCGAATTTATATCAATTTTCTATCATGATTCGGTAAATAAATTATTTAGACTTTCTTGTTCTTCTTGGGAATATACGAATAGATTAATTTTGTAAGTGATTTTATATGTAAATCAAGCCTGTCCAATTTGAGCTCCGGAGCCAAAAAATGCATCTGAGTAACACTTATCAACGTTTTACAGTCCCTGAAATATTACTCACATTGAATTTTTTTTGCGTCGATGACTGCGTTTTGATTCCGGGGAATTCAAATTGGATAGGCCTAATGTAAATGATAAATTTCTCACCTCATGGTTGTTCCGCTGTCGCCCGATGCCTCCTGCCAGGCCTCCTCCTCCTCTCAGACTTCCTCGTCGCACTCACTCGCGAAAGAGGTTAAGTTAGAAAAACTACGATCGCGACGATACGTAATTTGTACGGCACTCCCGACGCGACGCACATCGTTATACATCGTTATACGACGGAAGAATAACACATGCGAGGAAAGAATTGCGCGGAGCGAAAGTGAAACGAAACTGCGAACGGCACTCGATATCCGTAACGTTCCACGCATCGAAGCACGAACGGTCAAATCTCGAACAGCACAGGGCGTATGAAGGACGCGCGGCTAACTTCACGCGTCACCCCGTCACCCGCCGCGGCGATCATCGTCACATGCCGCTCTAGTCGCACCTTTGATACTCTCGGCGTTTTCAATAATAAATATATAGGCCTGTTCTAAAACGCCTCATGATGCGCGCAATAAATACACATTCACGATTATTTTACGTTACAACAAAACAAAAGCGAATCGAGACACGATCTAAAATCGAAGATGAAAACGTCCACGGAATGCAACATCCGACGAAATACGATCACTTTGGCGTCGATTTATCGCGCAACATTTTTCGATCACGTATTATCTTGCGAAACACGACGTTTCAACGAATCGCCGACGAGTAGTACAAACTACAATCCCGAATTTGAGTTGAACGGTTATAAGTAAATATAGAAATATATATTAACCGAGGTCGCAGTTACACGGAAAAATGTTTTATCGCTATGGAAAGTGATATTATTCAATTTACTTTCTTTCTTTTAAATAACGATTATTTGTAACAAAGAATATTTTCTTGATAATAATCTTAAAATATAGATACTTATTACAACTTTTATGTATTATAAAGACTTATTACTGAGTAATCATAACAAGAATTTATTTTTTTTTTGAAAAATGTTATAAAATTGATCGAGAAAACGACTCTCTAAGAAAATCAAATTTGTTTTAATTTAATAATTAAAATATTGATTAAAGTATTAAACTTACCAAGATTCAGAATATATTTTGAATAAATTTAATTGTTGTAATGAACTTACAGATTTGCGGATATACGAACTTGTGGAATATATAGGTATTTGAAACAAGTAATTATTACTTGCGTACATACAGTATGTATTTTTCTGTATGTATACTAATTAAATCTACGACTAATTGACTGCGGCTCGACCCGTAGCCAATCCGCCCTGTGGCGTTCCATAAATGATCGAAAAAATGCTCAAACGATAGTGACTTCACGTCAATATTGCGCGGTGCAAATTAACGGCTAATTAAGACGTAATTGAATATCCGAAAACGTAACGATCAAATTTCAGCGTCGACTCTATGCAGTACTACATAACCTCGAGCGCATAATTCCCACGAAATATGCATGCTATTAGTACACGTTGATTGCAACTTTCTTTTTCACCTCTGCCGCTCGATAGTTCACGTATCACGCCACGCGTTTCGAAATACAAAGAGCCAATTTACATTTAACTCGTGACTCAAAAGCGCGACGCGACACATATTCCAACTTCATATATCGTTAGAAAATCAACGTTGCTCATGAACGTCGCAATGAAGCAACAATTTCATTCCTCCGTCGCATCGAATTTTAACGAAAAAGGTAAAACCACACGGAATACCTTTCTCGATTGACGGCCGTCGTCTCGATACTCTTAAGTTGCTAATCGCGGAGTTAAGTAGGGACCGATATGTAGATAATAGCTTTCCTCATTTTCTTAATCGCTTCGCGACTAATTGTAAGGATTATAACGATGGCGTGCGGAGCGTCTCGCTGTGCTGCTCGCCGGCTCGATCCTCGACGCGGGAATGATGGGAGTGGAGAGTTGGAGACCATTACGTTGGCAAACACGACGCAGGACGCACCGCAAAAACAAACATCAAGGCCGCGCGCGCCAACCGATTTGTTGTCGTTTTAAAATATTCAACGTCGACTACAAATTTGTGAAATAATTTTGCCACGAATGTCTCTACCTTTTCGAAGTAATTTTGATGGATAAACGTACGATGCGTTGTCGCGTTTCGCCTCCTGATAAAGAAGATCGTGTTAATGTCGCGTATATTATCGACCGTATATTATCGATATATCATCGATGGCAAATTTTTAACAATTTAGTTGCTTAACGTAATTACTTTGTCTCTTTTTTAAATAAAAATTTCTACTGTTCTAATAAATTCAATTTAAAATAAGTTGGTTGTTTATTTTAAGAAAGAATTATGATTTTTAGACACAAAAATATTAAGTACCTGTATTTCTTTTTTGAAATTTTGTATTATTTCCTATTAATTACCGACATTATACATATATTTACAAAAAATTCTCAAAACAAAAGTAATTCATAGTAGATGCTATAAATAAATTTTTGAACTGAAACGTTAAATAATAGTTAATAAAGTGCCTGATATTTTTGACCAAGGCTGTATATTAAAATATCAATTTTCTGACTTCAACATTTAAGAAAATCATTGTCAATTATACTATTGATATCCGTTGATCCTCTTTTTTCGGCCGGTTAGAAGTAATCCAGGAGTAGTAATTGTCAATTGACCTAATTTTCTTTATATAAACGATCACTTGAGATATTTTTACATCCCAATTGAAATCACTATTATTAATATATTAATAACATAGTGTATATTGTTAATTGCTTTCTGATTTATTATTTAAGAACATTATGAATATACGGATTTAATCACAACTTTCTGAAAAAAAGTAAATATAAATTAAACAAATATTAAAAGAAATGAATACGTTAAATAGCTTATTATGGCAATATTTCTAAAAAAAAATAAAGAATTTAATTAATATAACACTTTTTTTATTGTAGGTTTTTAATAGTATTGCGTATTTAAAGGTTCGTAAAGGATAATTGTTAAAAAAAAAAGAAAAAAGTATGCTAAATAATATTCATACAAATACAAAACAATATTTTACAATAATTGACAATTTTCGCCGCTGGAATATAAAAATACCTCAGTTGACTATTCTTGGATTAAAGACGTTTCTCGTAATTAGCTCATCTTTCTATTGCGATGCTACCGTCTATCTATTCCTGATCTGGCATATGAGCTTGTCGTTGCCACAAACACGAGCAAACCACAGCAAAATTAATTGTGTGATTTATATATGCTGCCACCGGCAACATATAATTAATCCCTGTTGCTAGGTATTGTTTGTCGCGGACGAGCGAACGCGCGTGGACGTCAAAGTGGGCGAGTAAGTGCAATCGATTTGCAATAAATGGCACTTGCCGGCATTGTGTGCTCGGTCAATTCCGCGGTTGATGCTAAATTAACTCAAAATTCAGTAGGCCTCCCTTGGTACTATTGCCAGCGATTTATGGTACGAAATAATATGTAATTCATCCGTCCGATCTCGACCCGCTCCTTTTTCATGCTGCCTCGCATGGTTCGTTGCTCTAAAGAAAAAAATAAAATGAGTTATTAATCTTGATGTTTTTAACCGCATAGTTTTACCGTGACGAAATATCATCACAAAGCACGTCGTCTTTGTAGTTGCATTATCGGTATAACGATGAAATATTGCGAACAATATTATGGGAATGACTTGTGTAATTATATAATTTATCTTCCTAGCGCTAGTCATTTAATGTACCGAAAATAAAGGAGATATAAAATATAGTGTGTTTTAAATCGAATTTTTTAAATATTAGATAAAAATTTACATTGATTTATCTTTAAATATAATAAATGTCCTTTGTTTATTCAAGTAAACGAAGGTATATATAACTTTTTAAAATATTTGTTATAAAATCGTCATAAACTTTATTCATACGCATATTTTCTTTATTGACGATATTTGGTAAAGTAAACTAATGAATGTCCGATATAAATGGTAATAAAATGGTATAATGGTAGCAAATTTACAAATATTAATAAATAATGTTCTCCCAAACGAAGGGATTAAAATGTAAAGCGCATTTACTTGTTGAAACGTTTTGGCTTAATACGATTTTAAAATATATCACACGCATCCAAATATTATATATTTATGATAATATTTCACACAATACAATTTCAATAACATGGACTTTATAATTGCAGGATTTTATCGATTATTACACACGTAGCGATGGACTGGTAGAGATAATTTATGGACACGTATCCCTGTCATCATAAATAATAACTTTTTAATTACATTTCAGACAAATCGGAGCGATGCACATCGAGTAGTCCTAAAGGATGTACAGCCCAATCATACTGGCAAATATCGTTGCGAAGTCTCCGGAGATTCTCCCTCGTTTAATACCGTAATGGTCTCTGGTTATATGCACGTAGCTAGTGAGTATCTGGAGAAACGTATTTTACATCTGAGCAAAGATAACACGACGTGCACTGCGAAGACTGAAAAGCTCAACGCACAGCTAACCAAACATATTCCTTTCTATGAATTCCAATATGAGTAAATATGTGACGAAAAGAGCAAAAGCCTATAAGCCTGCATGTTCCTCGTACACGCGTTAATATTTAAAATAAAATACTGTAATTTTACAGAATCGTCGTTCACAAAATAATCACAAAATAATTATAGCTAATTAATTACAAGATTAATAGCAGTAATGAAAGACTGAAATTTTACTAAAATAATAACGCAGCACGTAATATATAGGAAAACATTTAGAAAGATACTCAACTACTTAACAGTTGGAAAATGTGGGAAAAAAATAATGAATTATTTTTAGCTTTGTACAAAATTTTATTAAAAACTGTGAGAAAAATTCAATCTGAAATAAGTTTTTAATATTTCCGCTAAAATATTTTTATGATCTACGTCAGGCGAATAAGTGTTTTTCGTAAATCGAATTTTTATTTCATATACGCGCAACATAAATTAAACTCGGATATATTCACGTATATTTTTTAGCGTTTTTGTTGCAATATTTTTATAACGAGTTTTTTGCGATTTTCCATAACATTTATTGTACATACGGACGCAATTGTTATTTCAGAAAGATGTTAAATAACTATTATATTTTTATAACACTTCAAGTCTCTCGTAACAACATTTACTTATCGAGCCAACAATTTAAAAAATAATTATTGACTCTGTAAACTACAAAAATTTTTAAATTTTTAAATAATAAAATTTATAAGAGAGTCTACGAAGAGAAAAGGAAAGGGAATCAATAATTGCTATATTGGATCCACCTCAATTTTGTAAGCTTCATGTTACAAATAATGTTAATAAATTTTGAAATCCACTGAAATTTATCAGACTTGAAAGACTATGACATTCAGGAAAATGGCTCCTTATTTTAGAAAATTATAGAAGTTAGGAAATATAATTTCAACATTCTCGCTGATAACTGTCTCAGAGAGGAAATTACAAATTAACGTAACAGGTAGTTGTTTATGCGTGCGAGATGACAAAAAACTGGCGTCATTAGCCTTGATAAGCACGCAATAAACCTGTCTGCAAGACAGAAATCTTCAATTGGTGATGCTTATTGAATTCTTCGTCCATCCTATCTTGTCCGATCCAAGATGAAAAAGCGTGAAAGCCACCGTTAATTTCACCATTTGACGCCACTAAAGCGTTAAATGGATATCGTTAATTTATAACTACTATTCCATCGGCTAACGTTGTTTCGGTGGACGCGCACGATCGTCTCATGTAATTCCCGTTTGTAACGCGGATAATTACTGCGACCAATTCGCTACGAGACAGCGCTTTTTGCGACGTCCTTCGTATATAAGCGACACCTATTCCGCGCCAGCTGGGACGCATTGTTAAAATTCAATAAAAACATTTTATCGTCCTATTCGAGGGCGGTTAACAGCCAGGCGGAGAGGACGATGGTCCGCGATAAATCGCGGATTCGGTCGTGACCCGTTAAGCTCTTTTTTTTCGATCGCTTTTGCCCACGACTTTGTTCTTCGCGCGTAACCAGGCACCAGATCTCTTTCTCTCTTCTCCGGCGTGTCTCTCGTGAGAGTACCTTTCATTATCGTTGATTATCCTACATGGCGACTAGTATTGTCACCGTAATCGCGCCCAATTAAAACGCAGTTAGGCGAGGAGTGAGACCAGAGAGAAACCGAATAGCGAGGACGGAAGAGAAACGACGGTGGTTGCGACGGCGACCGTGAAAAGGAAGGAGACGCGAAGATGGAGCGTTTGCGGTCCCGTTCCCACCGTTCCTTACCGCCGTCGTCGACCTAACGACGGCACAAGCACGGTAGGGATCCCCCTTCAAAGGGACGAAGTGATTGTCTCCTCTTTCTGATCACGAATCTCTCGTAAAAGCTTCAATACTAGATCGGCAAATTTCGAAATTCGTCTTGCAAGATCCCTTCCTTGCTGCTCTCGGATGCACCGTCTCTCTCGTTTCCTCTTTCCCAGTTCTCACGAGGCCAGCGATTCTATGCGACACATGAGTTAAAAACCGTAATATTCCTCGGTCGTGTCCTTGAGAGTACTCGTGGCGAAGATCGCGCGAGGAAGGAGCGGCCCGAGGCGGAAGTCGTTGCGGAGAAGTGAGACAATTCCTTGACAGTTTACCGGATTGCCACCGCAGTTACGTATCATAAGGAGAGATTCACTACCTTCTGTGGACGTTATAATGATCCTCCAAGATGTACATGATACTATATGTGTGTATATATATATATATATATATATACGTTGTAAGTCAGACTTGAACTTCACTTAATGACGATGATGTCGATGGATGATTCGCGGAAACGTCCGTGTGACTTACCGTAAGGGCCCGAAAAGGCCAATTTTGAATAAAGCGATGTGCGACGCGAATGCGTTTTATATTTATGAAGGCGCACCGCCTCGGGCTTTGTACGGAAACACTACTTCTAATTTACGGCGCGGCGGACGCGCATCGCTCTTTCAATTCAATTTCCCGAGATGTGCAACGCGCCACAGCGATATCCGTGTATAGACGGAAATCCTCTCCCCCATTGTTCAGGGATAAAAGTTACATTTTTGTTGCGTCGCCTATATCCTCGTGCGTCAGTACGATTCATATAACTGCGAAACAATTAACAAAGTACGATGCATTATACAGAGAATGATTGGAAAATACTTCCTCGATATATAAAAATAAAGAATTATTTTATATCAATTTTATATCAATTTTACAATTATTTGCACAATAGGAAGTAGATGTTGTCATAAAGCTGTATACGCGTACAGATATAGTTATTTAATAAATATAGAAATTATCTATATATTTATAAGATAAGATATAATTCGCAAATAATTGGAATGGACTCTCCAACGAAGTTAACTGCAAATTCGATTGCTCTGGATTTGTGTTCTCTTCACTAAATGTACATTGAACCAAAAATGTACGTAAATACAATAAAAAATTCATTAAAATTTGTTCAATGAACAATTTTATTCTCATAGTGATTTAGGTTTTATAAAAGCATGAGTTATAAAACTATTATTAGAATTCATTGTAACAATGAATATGTATATTGACACAATTAAATACTAACGTTTTCCCTTAAAACATTTTTTTAAATAGATATAATGAATTCGATTATTGATCTAATGTACAGACTTTATTAACTAATGAAACAATGCGTTAATATGATGAATGCATTTTATCACTTCTATAAAATTTTACGGTACACATCTAATGAACGAATTTAATGAATCTAACACGTTTATTGGAAAAACAAACTTTTTCAGTGTAAGTCAAGCACAAGCTGAAGTTAAATATATTATTTACACATCGACAATTGTGGAGACTTATATAAGCACTTCACTTATATTATTTATTATTCATTACATGTCACATTTGATAATTAATGAAAACTGCTCATTTTATTGTAATATAAATACTATGTATTTTATGAGTGTCCAACACCTTTCATGTGGCTTTATAATTAGTCACATATATTTTTTATGACTCTTTTCAAAGTCTTATTACAGTTTTTTAAATGTACTTTATGATTGTAATTTCTTAATTTTTCTATTATAACTTTCTATTATAATTTTTAATTTGGCTGAAAAAGATTTAAGTTAAGTCGAAACGTCTTTACATTGTTTGTTGAAAAACTATAAGTATTAATACTCTTTGAGATTGATTTTTTAATAAACTAGTTTTTATTTTGTGACCTAATTATAATATTTGCTTATAGCTGATCTTTCTATTACTCTTTATTCTTAGAGTCACAAAAGTATTTTTACCTAGCCTGAAAGATATTCGCTACGCTGCTCGAGTCGAATGTCGAGGTCGAGTAACGCAAGAAGTATCATTCGCGATTTCTGCGCGGCATGTTCTTGAACACCACGAACAATGATCTCGATCGAACTATCGTGGTGCTTTCGGTATCAAGGCTGTTTTTATAATCGGTAGCAAGCAAAGGAATCAGACGTAACAATAGTCGAACGTACCCGTTACCTGCAACAAAAACCGTACTCCAGCACCGTACAATCGCGTTCAGTTGTTACTATAAGACAGTACAAGATATCTTGGATTTCAGGTCTGCCGAACGGCGAACCGCAGCTGCGGGTCGAGAAGATGCAATATGCGGTAGGTGATACTGTACGTGGAAACTGCACGGTACCGTCGGGAAATCCTCCGGCTAACGTGACGTGGACTGTCAACGGCACACCGGTAGGTTGATGAATGTGGAAGGCGTCGATGAATCCCTTTCGATTTTTCTCACCGACTCATAATACACACTACATAAATATTAATGCAACCGTGTCTTGTTTCCGAATAATACTGTTGCCACAAAATTTTTCCGCAGGTCAACCGAATGACAGTTCAATTTTTGTCTTCCTTACGATTTTACTAAACAATCATCTTTGTCGTTTAGAAAGAGTTTTTATCATATAAAATCATATTCCGATAAATACGCATTTTTTTTAAACTTTTTGAAAATCATATCGAATATTTGTAATAAAATTAATCAAATTTTTAATTTACAAGCATCACTGCCAAACGTAGAATAAAACATAAAATGAAAAGCGTCCGAATTCATTTCAGTTGTTTGGCATTCTAATATTTTGGGATAAAAAATATTGTTTTATATTTAACTTTACGTAGTTTACATTTCATGTAGATCAATTCGCCAAATGTAACAGCAACAATGATTTTAAAGTATACTAATACATTGTTCATTTGATATAGCGTTTCACTGCATATAGACCTATTGTTTCTTTCTATGCTTGTTATTGCCATTAGTGACAATACTGTCAATTTGAAAAGTTCTTCACGTCTGATTCTAACTTGTTTATTCTACTGACTCCAACTTTGCGTTTACAAACATGTCTAACGTGAAACAACCATAATAGTTACCATATATTTTTAAACGGTTCTGCACGATGTGTAAAAATATTTTGCATTAAAGTTCTTCTATATTATCAGAGATTCTATGATAACTTTCTATAACATATGATTTTTCATTTAATAGGAAGAAAAAATTAAATTATTTTTCAATCTTACGTTAACGTACAATTGTTACATTTTTTCAGCATAAATTATCTTTCTGTTTACAATATTTTCCGTTATCCGCAAATTTTTGTGATAATTGCACAACAAATTTGCATTCATCTTAATTTCGCTATTTAACTTTGCGATGGTCATTTGAATGTTCAATTTCTGAAGTTTCTATTTCAGGATAAACGTAAACGACACTAGCAAAATGATTTCCTTCGTTCTTATCTGTTATCTCTACATTTATTTAAAAAAAAAATATATATATATATAAATAGCATCTTTTAAATTGAAGCATATAAATTATAACGCCATTATGACATAATTATGTACTATTTAAGTACCAACGACTTAAGAACTGAACACTTTCCCTATTTTTTGCTTCGCGTGCATGTGGAAATTTAATAGCTCTCGGAAAGCAACGGGAGAATCCCACCTTTCCATTAAAGAAAATTGCTTATACGTGATCGACTGCATTAAGCGTAAATGCAACGTCGCGGACGATCTTCGCGACGAGCACAGCTTGTCAGCTTAAGGGTCTTGAAGGAGCAGCGCTTGTTCTCGTGCGTACATATAGCCTGGGAGGCGCACGAGATGCGTGGAAATCATGGACATAACAGGAAGCGCGACATCAATTCATGACGGCGCCATATAGGCGATATCGTGAACTCGAGAAAATCGGTAAAATCATACACATACGTAGTCGTCTGCGAACGCACGAGACGTTCCCGTTATGCTCGCGGATATACAGAAGCGATTCAGGAAATTATAAAGACCCCTCTCTCTCTCACTGATCTTCTTCCAGTGTCGGCGTACTCTGAACAACCTCCATTTAATCCGGAACTCTCACTTCGGTATAGCGAGCCCGTAATCTGAGGCGTTTTACGAGCATCCTAAGAATCCGATAAACATCATAGTTATAGCTGTATGCGCCGCAAATCATTTATGCCTACCGAAGGAGGCGTGTTACCGCGTAAACGAGTGGCAGGAAGTAGTAAGGATGAACTGGTACCCCAGTCATCGTCCCACCCTGTTCTTCCGCAGATTCTATCCGTCGTTAATATGTTGAAGCGACTTGCCTAATTATCTATCTGTATTTTCCCGGTTAATAAATTCTTTATGGTATCACCTGTCTTAATGACTTATCGGTAAGACTATAAAGACGTTTCGAAAATTGAAATAGCATTATCTATTATTGGATGATTATATTCCGCATGGCGTAACAAGAAAAACCAGCGGACTTCCTCGAGCACACAAGGGAATTTCTCTGAAGTAATTGTTAATTTACTTGCAATAAGTACGCAGCTTAATTGCACAGTGGCTAGATCGTAAAATGAACCAGCCTTCGACGTAGATCGCATAAAGCTAATTGATTTTAGAGATTCATAAATCATTGTGCCCTTTTAACGCTTTTGCTTTGCTCGAAGAGAGCGGCATATCACCGCCACGTTTCGTTCATAATTGACGAGCATATGAAAATCGACAGTTTTATGATCTTTGTGTTCAAGGTATTTTATGCGCCATTTAGCGAAAATTTTCAACTAGATTTTGTACACATGAAAGAACAATCATTTTATGTCATCAATTATTTTTGCGAGCGTTTATTCAGAACTTTAAAGTGATTAATAAAATTAAAAAAGAAAATCAAGGAATATAGAAATAAGATTTTAAAATTATTCATTGCTATATAATACATTTTTTTCGTTGCAGGTGAACTCAAATTTCATCATGAATGTCACTCAGAAAATTAACGACAGTCAACAGTACATGATAATTGCTGGATTGGACTTCGAGACGATGCAGGATAGTTACAGCAACGGCAAATTAAAGATTGTGTGTCATGCTAATGTCTTTCATTTATATAAAGAAACGGCTGAGGTATCTCTGAAGGAAGAACGTCCAAGATTGGCTTCTGTATTAGGAACACGGGAATCCTCTTACGTTGGTACGAGTTATGCCTTAACATTTTTATTTTATCTTATAAAAGTAAATAAATTGAAAAAGTAAGTTTATGGGAAAAATTATTCTTTGTGGAAGCAAAGTTCGTGGAGAAACTTATTCTTTGTGGAAGAAAAGTTTAATATTCCTGGACGTAACTAATTTAAAATCAAATTCGAATTATCATGACGTTATGATAAACTTTTCCCGTTTAAGTAAGATCTTCTATATAAGACGTATCATGGTCTTCCGATTTATGTACATTACTTGTTTTCTTTATAGGTAGCGCAGCCAAGAGCACCGCAGAATACTTCTACATCACTGCCATGACTGCACTGTTGCTATGCAGCCTGAGATAACATCAATGAGCTCAATACGTTTTACGCGCATGATTGTATTGGGATGAAGGGAGTAAATCGTTTGTAAAATTTTGAAATTACTAAATGGGATAAAACCTGGGAAAGAGGAAATCTTTTGTTGAAATAAATACTAAGCGTATGTTATTCGTGTAAATAGGATAAAGGAAAAGATTTAGTGAATTATCTACGTGTACGCGATCTACGTCCGCCCCGCGGGTAGATTTGTAATCATGATAAATAACATGTCGTATTATTATGTAATAGATCGACAAGATGTCGCGCCAAACTACCGACGACTTATTTGAATATTGTATCGTCTTTTCTATCCTCTGATAATGATTTTGATACCTCCTCTGTAACATTGTGACAATCGCAATGTGTCCTGTCATGGTTATAGGTAAACACTGTTATTGTTCATAAATAACATTTTATTTCAATGAAATATAAATAAATGATTCACCTTCGTTATTTTAATCTTTAGTATTAACCCTAACCTTCTTTTTAGCGTCTTATTTTTAATTTAAATATTTAATAAATTAATAAATTTATTAATAGTTTATTATAAATTATTACTTCCATCTTATGTAATTGTTATAGTTGTAAGAAAAATGCTTAGTAAGGAATATGTTTTAAATTCCTAACGAGTATGTATAAATATGTATTTCTGTACAAAAATTTATTGTGTATTGATTTATTGAATAGACGAAGTCGAATAAATGAAATACGACAGGGTGATATCACAAAACTTATATGCCTTGATTGTACTTAATAAAACCATCTTATTGCTATTACATAGAATCGATTGCATTCGTATTTAGTACCTCAAAGCGATTGGATTTAATCAAGATTAGATGCAGATGATAACGAATTATTTATGAAAAACAAAATAAGATTATTAACTTGAAATCTATCGTTTTCCACGTGCATCCCAATTTGAAGGCTGAATTCTCGCTTCTATTATATCCATCGTGGCTTCTCTTAGTTTAGTCCTTTCGATTCCAACTTGCTGAATCTTTTCCATTTGTTCAGTAACATACTCTACTTTTCTTTTGAAGTAGTCCTTTGCATCCTCGACTTTTTTTTCCGCATAATAACCAGTACCAATGTCAACAATCACATTATTTGCATCTGCTAGTTTCCCAGTCACATACATAGAACCTGTCAATGGCACCAATATTTCACTGCCTGTAACATAAAACATATATAAAAAAAAGAATAATTTATTACAATTATTCAAATCATTACTGCTGCATACAAGAATTATTTATTTCCTCAATATAAATTTCCTGAAGCTTATAAGATTTACAAATCAAGAAAAAAACTACATTTGCAAGCAATTAAAAATAGTTAAAGGAAATAAAGCCTGATCTACAATATGCTCATTTTGCTTTCTTGTTTCTCTTTTTATGATCGTTTTATCGACAATCGTGTTTCTTGTCACTTTTAAAATTCGTTAACTTTTCTCATGAGTTAAAATATAAAGAAACAGCATGAAAAAAAATGATAAAATGCAAAAAAAAACAGGAAGCAAAGAGCACATTTATTAATTAGGTTTAATAGAAATGAAATTATAGCAATAGAGAACTGCCTCCAATCATATCACTCTGTCTTTCGGAGCAGTATTTAAGCTTGCATTTATATTTCCTATATAATCGCGTTTCCTAACCTCAAAGAGGAGACTCGTCGCGAAGTCACGAAACTATGTATGTGCGCTTTGGAAAGCAAAATTTGCATGACTCACCCTCAGTGTCCGACGTAATCTTCTCGAGGCAAGAGCCCGATTCCTGAAATCTGCTCTGCGCAATCTTTAACGTGTGCAAAGAGTCCTGGAACACTCCGAGTTCTTGGTCCAATTGCTGCTTGAACATCGTCAGCTGTTGGAGATTCAAATTCGGCAAGGTGGCTAAATTGATCACCTGCGATTGCGGCGACGACTTCACAGTGGCCTCCTGCGACATCCTGACGCGAAATCGTTTCCAGGATGCGAGAGTTGTTCTCAGGATACTTTACGCTGATCCTCGGACCGTACCGCTCTCTTCGATGTCACCAAACACGGGCAACGACAAACCGCATCCGCTCGTCGATCTCAACTTGTCGAAACGGATACCAAGCGGCACCACAATGCAAGCGTGACGAACCCGTCATCTCGCGAAGAGGCAGACATCATCAGGCAAAGTATTTGCAAATATTTTTCGAATTATTATTCAAATATTATCTCGCATCGGTCATTATTCCTCATATTAGTTGTTTATTTATGATATTACACGTAAAATGAATAAATAAATATAAATTGCGACGATTATTATATTGTCGATATTGTTACCTTTCATGGAAAGGTAATCAACGGTTATCAACAGTGATATTTCAGTCTGTCGATATATCTATAATTTACCTGTCGCGATTTGACTCAGTTGGTAACTTGAACGTTTCAAACAAGACCATGAATGTTATATCAATAATAGACAAATTTTATACAGTTTTAACTATTTTATATATATTTTATATCAATAATAGACTATTACGCAATATTTTTAATAAAATATAGACGCATTGTGGCTTTTTTGTTACTTTTAAATCGTTTAATTCTGCAGTCATTTACATCTTATTCCGCATTCTTAATCCGCACTATTATTTCATTATTATGTACCTAAGACAGAAATAAAATACGTACGCGACAAAATCATAGATATACAGAATATACATATAGGAATTACAAATCACTATTTTATTTTATTAATTGATATCATATTTTTTAACATGGTGCTTAGAATTTAACAAAACTTACATTGCATTGTGAATTTGAATATAATTTACCTATTACTTTTTCTGGATAACAAATGCAGAATATATAAGAATGACGGAATTTACAATTCAAAAGTGATAAATAGCAGCAAGGCGTCAACCTTTTATTAAAAATATTATATACTGCGCGGATTTTATGTAATATAAAGTTATCACAAACTAATAATCACTTATTGTAACATAATTGGACTATATTCATGAGCTGTATGAACGTGTAACAAATCTAAGAAATAAAGCAACAAAGCCTGTTCATCGTAGAATATTAAAAATGTAAAGAATTTAAGAATATATTATTTTACTTATTTCGTAATATGCGTTAATATTTCGACAGTTAGACGGTTGGCGCGCGGCCTTGGGGAGGATTGGGGTTTGTTTTTACGCGGGGCGCGGACAAGCGGGAGGCGTGTCATCATTAATCATTACGTACAGTCACTGCGCAGTCATTCCACTACTGAGGTTCGTGCGGACAGGTAGTCGTGCTGCTCTTCTTCACATTTCTAATAAAACGTATTTCCGACAAATACTAGATAATACAGAACGTTGTACCTTGAATTCCACAAACTTACTTAACATATTAAGTAAGAAATAAGTCAGAAAAAGATTTTTTAAATAACAAATACTAAATAACTACTTTACTTTTTTTTTTATTTAAAATACATATTTTAAATAAAATTGTTTTTAATACAACCGATCCTTGACTGATACGACTTATTTAAAAAATACATATATATAAAATAAATTCCGCAAACTTATTTAAAATATAATTAAAAAATAAGTTAGAAGTAATTATTTAAAATAATGAATTCTAAATAACTTTTCTTTCTTTTTTTTTTTTATTAAAAAAATATATTTTAAATAACTTTATTTTTTAAATACGACCGAGCCCGGTATATTAGTATATTGTTAATTAGACTTTATTTTAAGTGAAACAAAGTAAAATTCAATTAGTATTTTGTTGCGGAATTAATGAAATAATTTCCTATATTGATTTTCTCAGAACTCAGCAGTTTAATTTTAGTTAGTTTTAGCTAGTTTTAGCGACGCGAGTCGTTTGATGTGATACCGTAATTACATCATGGTATATCGAAGAACATAATTTAACATTTATTTTATAATTTCAAATATTTCGCATCGATTAATATGCTGACAAAAGGCAAGAGGTAAAAAGTAGTTTTTTGTTACATAATTACTTGCGTGAAGCGTTTTTAACATCCCAACATTCTATCTCAATTTTTATTGCTCTCTTTGATGATTCACAATTAAATAAAGATTAATAAATATGTTATATATCCTTTAAATGAAGATAAATGATAAAAAATTTATTTTAAATTATTGGAAACAATTTGGATTAAATAGAATAATACGTATAAATAGCATTCACATTTATAGAGATATATAATTTAAATATAATTTACCTATTACTTTTCCCAGAATAAAAATGCGAAATAAGATGTGAATGATAAAATTAAATGATTCAAACGTGACAAAAAACCACAATCTTTTGTTAAAAATATTGCATACATTGCACGGATTTTGTGTAACAAAAAGTTATTATAAACTAATAATCACTTATTATAACACAATTTGAAATATCTAAGATAAAGATGAGTTGTGTGCGTGTAACGAATGTAAGAAGTAAAGCAAAAACCGTACAATAAAGACTATTCATCGGAGAATATTAAAAATGTAACGAATAAATTATTTTACTTATTTTGTAACATGCGTTAATATTTCGATAGTTAGATGATCGGCGCGCGACGGGGGTTTGTTTTGACGCGGGTGGGCGGGCAGTCGGCGCGACGCGTCATGTTTACACGCGCAGTTACCGCGTAGACATTCCATTACCGAGGCTCGTACAGGCAGGTAGCTGTGTCACGTGTCACTCTTCCTCACATTTCTTTCTGAAACGCTATCGCAAAGAATATAATACAAAACGTATTTTATGAATACTCGCAGTATACGATTACTAGCTCGCACGATTATCATTCGTAAGAGGATCAAAATGACAATCATGTATCACGGAACAGATATTTTGTACGGTTCATTCATTTGTAATCAAAACGCAATGGAAAACAGAATTTATTATTATTTCGCGATAATTACGGCCGACAATTATTTTTGTTTAATGTAAAATTTTTCTCTTACTTGAATATAACTTTCAATTATACTTCGAACGGTATCATACGAGTTATAAAAAAGCAACGTTAATAAATATTCTCACGCAAATAACGGAATTCATGCGATTCCTACTTTTACAATTAAAATATAGTTTCTGTAATTAATAATTTAATTAATTTTTCGTTTTCGTGCATCTTTCGTGACATGATCTGTATAAGAAATTAAGCGTAACTTTGGAACTATTTATTGGCAATAAAAGAAATATTTCTCTTTTTTATTAATCTCTAGCTCATTCCATTGACTCTAATAGTATCTTATAGACATTGTAATAAGAGATTCAGCCCTTTTATCTGCTCTGAATTTATTTCGCAATACGGTGCAGGCGAATTGACATGTTTTTGATATTAATTTGTAAAAGTTAACCGATAATTGCACGGTAGTAGTTAGCACTATAGCAGGTATAGATAATAGTATATTACATTTTTCAGATGATAATCTTCCCTCTCACGGGTACGACCTTGACGTGGTAAGAGGGCTCAGTACCCGGAGGATATACACGAAAAGAACGGTTTTTCTCAAG